TGCTTGTGCCTGGGGTACAAGCGGGGCGTGTGTTTCGGGGTGCCCAGTTGGGCTACATTGGTTCGCGAATCGCCGTGTAATACGCTAAAACTTGTCTACGATCTAGCACCGTAGTAAGAACTGTAAGATGAAAGATGGTGAAATAGATCTAATTGCTCAACTCTTGCTTGAAAATAGAATAGGTACTTACATAGAATGATAGATAATGAAAACCCAGCAAGCAGAGAGCTTACACTCCAGTAGTGCTTGTCAGTGCTGAAGTATGGTACTTTACCTGTAAAAAAATAAAAATGGACAGTGAATAATGCTACTTTACCTATTAACCGAGATAAAAGAATAATGCCGACTCATAAAAGACAGATCAGGCATGCAGATTTAGGAAGCGATCCGCATTAACCTCTCACGAGCACAAAATTAAGACCCAATTATAGTGTTTTCAGCAGTTGTCTGAAACAGGTGGCCTACCTCACACTTCAGCAGTTGCCTCACACTTCAGCAGTTGTCTGAAACAGGTGGCCTACCTCACACTCACAAAGCTACAAGCTGCAAACTGAGATGGAGAACACAGACAACACATAGCAGACCTTACGAATCTGTATAAGGAGCAATCAAGCATAGAAATATTCTATGCAATAGACTAAATATAGAATCTGCCTTCCATCCTATGTTTATGCATTATTTGTTCATGATAACGATCACTATTAATCCTGGTATCAACATTAACTGTCATGCTACTATTAATCCCAGTACCAGCCAGCAGGGATTTTCAAATCAGTGAAAGCAGCTCAAATAGCACACCAAATGAACAGAAATATAATAAAAAAAAACAATACCTGCAACAAAGTGAAGGCTGGATAGCGCACGAACGCACGGAGAGGCCCACAACCACAAATTGATCCAATAGCAGATAGCTCCTTTGCAGTTTTTTTTGTTAGTAGATGGATACAATCTAACAGGTAGTGAAGCTAGATTTGATGGAAGCGTAATCCCACATGGCAAAGTTCAATTTCCTAGGATTATCAAATAGTCAACTTCAAGCATAACTACTGTATGGAATGGAAAAATGTAATTGCTTCATTAGGATCATACTTAACTTGGGCATAATGGCTTCATCATTGTACGCTGTAGTGTTGCAGGTGATGGGAGTAATATCAGGATGTAGTGTTGTGTCTGAATCAAAGACATATTGGCTTAGTCAACAATAATTTATAATTTGTCCTTCTATAAAGTAACTATGGATAAGAAAGAAAAAGAAAAGCACAACAGCAAATGGTCTTCAAACCAGATTATAAATACAGCTTGAAACCAATTAAGCATCGTCAACCAGCTGCATTGTAACATAATTCGCTCATATATCATTGGCCTATTTGTTGTCATCACAGTCCTTAATTATCATCCATATAAACACAATGATTCAACAGATGGGGATGATTTTAAATTATCCAAGCTGAATAATGGAACTTTAGCCTACTGTTTTGAGCTTTCTAGGACACATAACTTCCTGACAGGTTGTACAAAAGAGAAGATAGTTTTGGGATAAAAAAAAAAAAACTCCAAGCTTGGTTATCCTGATATTTATGTTACCTTACAGAGGATATAAGAATTCTAGAGCATGTACAAATAGTACAGCCTGAAGGGCGGGCCTGGTGCAAGCGGTAGAGTCTTACCGCCTGTGACCGGAAGGTCCCGGGTTCGAGTCGCGGTCTCCTCGCATTGCACCGGCGAGGGTAAGGCTTGCCACTGACACCCTTTCCCAAACCCCGCACAGAGCGAGAGCTCCCTGCACTGGTTACGCCCTTATACAAATAGTACAGCCTATGCTGCTTGAGTCATTTGTATCAAATGTATCTGTAACCCAGTAAAACTGACATTAAAGATAGCTATGTTTCAAATTAGAGAGCACCCTATTGGTGTCAAATATTACAGAGAGCATAATAATTGAGGTGCTATGGCAGTTAGTATTTTCAAAAAAAAACATCCACAATACACATATACAATGAATAATTATTTATAGATATAATCTTGCAGAGTTCAGTGCTTCGGTATTTCAGCAGAACACATAATGCATCAATGACATTACTTGACTACTTGCACACACTTGTAAATGCCATTATCAGAATATTTTTTCTAATGTATGTTGTATTCAACCAGACACATCATTTTTTTAAACTAGCAATAACCTAGATTTTTTTTACAGATAGTGAAGACTCTTCCAGCTTTTCGAACTAGCTGTAACCCAAATACACACGCGCAGTATAGTTTCTACCGAGAAGACCAATCATGACATTATTTACTTGTTGGCACTTCCTAGCTGATAGCAATATGTAACCCCAGTTCAATTATAAAATTTTATCCACACCCTATTACGCAGCTACTTTCATTCATTAGACAGATTCAATAGACAGTACGATGAAATCTTGTGCATAAGTTTAGTGAAACTCAATTGATGGAGGGGAACAACCTGGATTTGGGGCTGCAGAAATGATCAACCTCTCGACCTGATGCTACTGCGCCACGCTGCCGACCTCTCGACTAGCTGCTACTGCTGCTCTAGTGAGGGATCAAATCAAGAAATCGAGGGAGAGAGTAAGTAGGACGAAATCACCATTACAGAGGGAGAGAAAGAGATGGAACCTCAATAGATCCCGAGCGCTCCTTGACCTCGCCGAGGGGACGGTAGTGGCCGCCATGGAGGCACGGGACGGACTAGCCTTGCTGGATCTGCCGGCCACTCACTGGGACGCGGGTGGACGCTAGGGCACCATCGACAACGGAGATCTGGTGCGGGATCCCCGCCGCCGCAACCTCGTCGCCCATCTCCCACCCTCTAGATCTCTCCCGTGGAGGGCCATGCCCAGCGCTCGCTCTCCAGATTGCCTGCCTTCTCACCAGATCTGACCTCCGTGGAGCCGTCGTGGTTGGGGGGAGGGGGAGGCACGGTGGCAGCGGCGAGGAGGAAGAGGAGAGGTGGCGACGGCGGCAGAGGGAGAGGAAGGGCTGCAGATTCGGCCAGTGTCGCCATGGATTCGCCTCCAATAAAACCGATGTACAAAAACCTCACTTGCGTGTGCGGCGTGGGAGCATGGCGCGTGGCGGGGCCTAGCGGCGACGCGGCGTCCACTTCCAGCAGAGCAGAGCGACAAAGCGGGCCGCAAATCACACCTCACAAGGACCCTAATCTCACCTCTTACGTGATCCGATCCCTGATTCCCTGTGCAACAATCGGCAGTTCCAACCGAGGAGGCAGGCGCCAGGCGGTGGCAACCAGCAAGGTAGGGTAGGAATTTGAAATTTAGTTACTAATTGTTTCGATCCCTACTTTATAAAATTATAGTTACTAATTGTTTCAATCCCTACATTGTGCATTGAGAAGCGATTGTTGGTTAAGATTGATATTGACACCATCATTGATGACTTCGCATTAAGGAATGTTAGAAGAATTTTTTAAAGTAATTTAATATGTATATAAATTATTTTATATGAATATTTCTTTTTAATTGCTTATTAGTAACATTTTGTATATGTGTGTATATATGCTACCAATGGATAGTACTAGTACTATTATCATGGTTATATCAAAAGGCTCAAAATTTTAGCTTCGTTCTAGGTCCGAAAAATTTTAGGACTGGCGCTGGCCCGCTCGGATTCTGCGTAGCTCGTACGACTCGCCCTACCCACGCCGTCCGTCCCCACGCGGGCCCACGTCGTCCGAACATCACCAGCAACGAGAAGTGGAGTACACACCTAGGCAAGGTAGCAGAAGGCAAGGAGAGAGATGCAACACTCGATCTACTTTTAAAACATCAAAATGAAACCTTTGCAACATACGTCTGAAAATAGTTGAAACATTTGCAACATACGTCTGAAACACTTGTAAAAACACCTGAAAACGCTTGAAAAAACCATTGCAAAATACATGCAACATCTAGATAAAATAGATGCAACATATGTGTGAAATACGCGCAATATTCAAATAAATACACTTACAACGTATGTCGAGAAAAACAACTAAAACATTGGGAACAAAAGCTTGCAACACATGTGTACAACCATTGCAACGTTTGCAACGTCCCGATCTACTTTTGCAACATCCACATGAAACGCTTGCAACATCCAGATAAAACATCTGGAACACTTGAAATAAACTTTTGCAACATGCGTTTCCAGCATGCAATGTCACCTTGCTGCTTGGACGAATCACGGAGCTCAACGCTGTCGTGGCACATGGAGCTCGGCAGTGTGCCCTCTAGTGAGGACCTGCTCGGTGGCCTGGGTGAGCGCCAGCGCGAGGTGCGCGAGCACCTGCTCCGTGGCCTAGGCCAGCGCACCTTGGGCGCAGCAGAGGACGGACTTGGCGTCGGGAGACGGAGGCGCAGCGGGGGATGGCGACAGTGGCGCGCTAGAGTGGCCTGGCAGGGTCGGCGTCCGAGCGCTGCGCCTCGGAGGCAGTCGCGCGCTGCACCTGGCTGGGCCAGTGACCGAGCGCTAGAGGCACCAGGTGAGCGGATAGAAACAAGTGAGCGGATAGGAACACGCACGTGGACAAGCTGATTTTTTTTTTATTTAGAAACGGAGGAGCAGGGGGCCTTGTACTGGCGTCGCGTGACTGACCAACAGTGCGTCCGGTCGCTTGCTAGCATTAGCGTTTTTTTAAGGGAGATTAATCTGGTTGTATAAATGAGGGTAGAAATCGCACGACCCTGGGTCAAATGAATTTCCTCCTACAAATTTTGCACATGTTTCATGTTTGTGTCCTTGTGTGTTTCCTTAATGTTGGGCCAAGTGTTAAACGAACTAAGCCCATGTAATCTTGGTCCGGCCCAACCATGAGGACCCGATCCAACACGGTTTCACGGGCTCTTCCCGCGCCAGCACGGGCCCAAGAAACCACTACATAAACCCACCCACTGCTAGGGTTTCGCCCCAGCAGCCTCCCAAATCCCCAAAGCCTCCGCCCCCCTTCCTCCTCCCTCGCCGCCGCGCACGCAGGAACCAGCGACATGGGCGTCTACACCTTCGTATGCCGCAACTCCGGCGGCGAGTGGACTGCCAAGCAGCACTCCGGCGAGATCGAGGCCTCCGCCGCCACCCCCTACGCGCTGCAGCGCGCCCTCGTCGCTGCTGCATCCGCGGCCGACTCAGCCTCCGGCGTCCAGTCGTCCTTCTCCATGGTCACCCCCACCTCCGCCGTCTTCCAGGTCTGCTCGCCGACGCCACCCTTCTGCGCCCGCCCCCCCCGCGGGATCTAACGTTTCTACAGTATAGTTGTATAGCCAAAGTTGTCTGTACTTGTTTGGATGGATCGCACTTTCTGATCGTGCGCCTGTAGAACAATAGGTTGTCTAGGTGGTGGGCTGTCTAAATAGAACTATAGATTGGAGTGTTTCTCTTTTTGGTCATTAGAATTCCAGCAATAGCAGCTTATAGTGGTGTCTGTCTATTGGTATAGAACTATATATTGGAGTGTTTCCTTTTGGTCATTAGAATTCTGAGCTGTCGCTGATCTACAGAATTCACGGTCCTTCCTCATATATGTTATATGTACTTGGTATATACTTATACCATCCATATACTTCTGCTGCAATGTTACTAAGTTTTTAGCTGTTATTGTTAAAATTAGCAAAATTAATTTGAGTTTCAATGTAACAAACCTTTTGCTTCAAGCCCATGTGCTTTGTATGATTGTAAGCACAATCGTGTAAGTTATAGGATTCACCCAAACCTGTATTTGCAAGTGGTAGGATTCACCCAACTGAGTTGCTAGCAGTATAAGCTTTTTGATTTGTAAATTGCCTGACACTTGATGTCAATGGTACCTGTGATCTGGTTGAATCAAGAAACTGTTGATTGTGGCAATGTTTATGATGATTAGTTGTGTAGTCTTTCAATGTTGTCTGCGTAAATCATATCTGCAGGTTTGTTCATCTTCAACACATCCTGATGTTCAATATTTTATCTTGTGCAGGTGATCGTCGGTGCTGTCGGTGGTGGTGCAATGATGGTTAGCGCCGGTGGTGGTGCCGCAGCTGCATCAGGTGGTGCTGCGGCTGAGGCTCCCAAGGAGGAGAAGAAGGAAGAGGAGAAGGAAGAGAGCGATGACGACATGGGATTCTCCCCTGTTCGATTAGAGTTGTGTCATTTGGCTCCCATAAGTGGTGGTGATTTGGTCCTATTGCGGTAGTTAATTTTGCTGTCCTGTGAACCTGAAGAACTCTTGGTAATTGTTACAAGCGATATGTTCCAGTTTATGTGAGAATTTGATATGTTATTTGGAATCAAATATTCTCCTCGCCAGAGGCCCTGATCGGCTTACTTTAAAAGCCGGCTTGTTCGGTTTCTTTTTTTCAGCCGGAACAATATTTTTTTCTCACAACAATTCAGCTTTGGCTTGTTTTTTCAACCAATTGGGCCTCTGCGTTGTGATTGTTCTGGGCTATAATTTGGGTGCATGGAACTGTCTATGCTATTATGTTAGCTTTAAGTTTGTTGCGGAGCAAATGCTTCCTTATTTGTGTTGGGTGGACATTGTGTATGAAGCAGTGGCCCCAGGGTGCTTGGATCATGGCGAAGGTTGTTTGCCGGAGGATTTCCTAGCTCTGAAGCCTCACATCGCCCCCACACGCCAGAGATTACATCGCCAGAGATTGCAAATACTTGTTTGAGCTGTGAAATTAAAACTAAAACCTGTGCAACCCCTCAACAACGATTCTGTACAACTTACGTTGAAGTCCAATTGTTTGCAGACAAGAATTAAGTTCCTCCCCACTAATACTACGTTGAAGTCCAATTGTTAGCAGATAAGACATCCCACTAATACGGCTTCGCCGTGACCGGATGATTTCAGCATTTGTCATCACCTTACCAAAAGTGCAAAAAAGCCATTTTTTTTTTCTAAAAAACAATATAAGTTCACAAATTTAACATCTGGTCCTTTAAAAATGGCACCATACTTTAGCTGTGTTTGGTTACCCACACTTGTTTTAGAGAATAACACAAAGCCAAATTTTTAGTTATATTTTGACCAAAATTAGCATACATTTGCTCCGGTGCTAAATTTTGTATTTGACCATCCTAGTTCATTTGATCAGTTAAAAATTGACTAAAATCATATCCGCAACTCGAGGCAGCGCCCGCTCGTGGATCGCCTGGCACCGACACGCTTGATCCTCAGGTGCTCTGTTTTGCGTCATGAGCAGAGACCCCAAGGTCCTCCATCCGACTCCAGCCCGAGAACTGCTTCTGTTCTGCGCCATGATCGAGAAGAGAACCCAAGCGCCATGACATGACGAGCTCGGCAGCTCAGCCAGGTCGCCAAGAGAGTTCACCCACGCATACTACATTCTCCATCAGAATTCAGCAGTCACAATCTCATTCTTCATAACTGCAGCATCGGTTGTGTTAACAGCCATGACAAAACATGCTACAATTGAGAATCACGCATCAGTTGTGTACGGAAAGCACACAGTTGGAGAGTAAAACATCAATAATGCTGCGCCATCCACCGAGCGAATATGCTTCCAAAAACATCAAACGAGGCTCCATCATCAGGCCATTTACCTGAACATTCGGTACAGAATTGTTGAATCAAAAGTAAAAGAACATCTGAATATCAAGCAGGTCAAATGAGAAGAAATCTTCCAAGAAAACATGCACATTAAGTGAACTAACTGTTTTAGATAAGATCACATTTAGCCTACCAGTGGCAGGTGCGTGAAAGGACTGATTCCAAAAAAATTCATTATATCATGCCTCGTGTGATCACAAGTGCTACATTCTCTGTAAGAATTCAGAAGTCATTCTTCATAAGTACAACATCAGTTGTATTAGCAACCATGATAAATATGCTAATGTTACGAGAGAAAATCTCACATCTACATGACTTTTAACTTGCAGCAATTTCCCAGGTGAAATCAGCGAGTCAAGAATATATATATTTTTTTGGAGATCTATGCTTCCTTGTAAGATTTACTAACAATCAATACAGGTTGGCCCCTCCAAGAAAATGATACTTTGCAGGGAGAAATCTTATGTGTTCCCGACAAGTCCCTTTGCTTGAGAAGAGATCAATCAGCAACGTTGTGGTTGAATGTTCAACTGAGAAATTTCTCTCGTCAATTTTGGACAAGTAAGTTCCAGCCCTGACTATTTCATCTTTCTCTAGTAATTCCCTAACCACATGATTCAGCAATCGAGACTCAGGATCACAACCGGAATTCTCCATGGATGAAAACATATCGTCTGCCTCTTCCATCAATCCTTCTTTTATAAGATTTATCATCATTACAGTGTAAGTTACAACACAAGGTACCAGTCCATTTCCTGAGATTGAAGCAAACAGATCCTTGGCTTCTTCAACTCTCCTGATTTGAAACATTCCAGCTATCATGATATTGAGAGTTGTGATATCAATCTTTACATTCATTGCATGTTGTTCTTTGAAAAGCAAGATTGCTTCATCAGAGCAGCTGTTTTTAAAAAGTCCACCAAGAACTATGCTGTAAGTATATGTGTCCATTGCGATTCCACTTTCAGTCATTTCATGAAATTTCACCTTTGCAGGAACTGTTCTCCCAGCCTGAAATAACCCATGAAGTATGATGTTGTATAAACTAGTTGAAGGCTTTATTCCCTTATGCAAAATTTCTCTGAAAAGACTCAACCCTTCATCGATCCTTCCAACTTTACAATAGCCACTAACAAGTGTACCATACACTACATCATTTGGTTCAATGCCAGCTGACACCATAGCATCAAATATTCATCTTGCCAACTAGACAGTACCCATCCATCAGCAAACTATACTCCCAAACAGTAGGACGCAGACCAATATTTACAGTTAAGTCAAATATATTTTGTGCATCCATTACTCTTCCTTGTTTGCAAAGGTTATTTATTATCGAACTGAAAAAAACAGTGTTAGGACTTAGGACGCATACCTTTCTTCATCATTTCCAAAACCAATTCCTTGGCTTTCAGCAAACCACCATGAATACAAAAACCTTGAATCAGGCAACAGTAAGTACACATATTGGGTGCTACTCCTTGATCAATCATCTGATTAAATTTTTCGACAGCATCATCCATCTTACCAATTCTGCAAAGCGCAGCAATCACTGTTGAATAGGTTACCACATCAGGTTTCACTCCTTGCTCACTCATTTCATTGAAGATAACCGTAGCCCTATCTAGCATTCCAAAGTTAGCATATGCCTTGATTAGCACATTGAAAATATGGATGTCAGGTTCAATACTATCTCCTAGCATCAAATTGAAGAGACCTGTCATCCTTTAGTAGCGTACCCGTTGAGCATAATTAGGTAGGAGACAATATCAGGTTTTAGGCCCTTCATTGCCATTAAGTCAAACACATCTCTAGCATCCTTGATTTTTCCATACTTGCAGAGGGAAGCCATTAACATGCTCGAAGTAAAAACATTTGGTAAGATGCCCTGTCTTGTCATCTCTTTAAATACCCTCACTGCCTCCCTCCACTGGCCCATAGAGGAATATCCATAGATCAAGTTATTATACATCCTGCGGTCTGGCTGAACACCTTTATCAACCATTTGTCGAAGGACGGCCTCTGCCCTGTCCACTGCTATAGCCTTACACAGTGCATGAACAATGGAGTTATATGTCAATAGATTAAGTGAAATGCCCCGCTGCATCATTTCATTGAATAGATCACATGCTTTAGCAACACTGCCCTCCTTAAAGAAGCCATCGATGACCGTATTATATGCAACCACGGTGGGCGAGCAGACAGATCCCCTTTCAGCCATCATCCGTAGCAATTCATCTGCCTGGCCACTCTTTTCCGTCGTTGCAGAGGCTCTTCAGAAGTATGCAGTACGAGAAAACATCAGGCACACAGCCCAACTCAGACATTCTGTGGAGAAGGATGCCCAAAGCCTCGTCTATCCGCTTTGCTTCACAAAGGCCCTTGAGAAGGTTGCTGATGATGATGGTATCGACTCCCAAGCCTGTCTTGAGAAGCTGGCCGAAGAAGGCCAGCGTTAGCTCCGGGCGGTGCGCTCGGGTGAAGCAGTCCATGAGGATGCCATAGGTGCAGAATGCAGGGGACAGCACCTGCGGGCCGTCAGCTCGAGACGCGGTGTTGAAGAGTAAGACGGCAAGGGCAGGGCCATCTCTGCAGGCGGCGGAGAATGGCGCACATGCGAGCGCGGCGAGGAATCCGTTCAGCGCGCGCTCGGGGATGGGGGTGGCTTGACGCAGCAATTCGTCGAACAGGTGGTGCGCCTGCTCAGGGTGGAACATCCCCGACCTCACGCGCTCTGTGGCGGCGGCGAAGGCTAGGTGGGGAGCGCGCGGTGACGGCGAGGAGGAAGCGGCGGGGATGAAAACGGCGGAGGAGGTGCGGGCACCAGACGACATTGCCGCGTGCGTGGGATATGGCGCCCAGGTTCGGCTGCTTCTCTCGCCCTCCGGTGAGAGGCCGCCAGCGGCGTGTTACACACTCGATAACAAGCGGCTAACTGAATGGAGATTTTGGGAATGGAGCAGCAAGAACAGAACAAGGATTGGAAGGACGCGACTGGTTCCGCGAGGTAGGAGACGAGCAACAGCCAACAGGTTCAGACTTCCGAGTTCTGTTGACACCCGACCGACAATTGAACAAGCAGCCCGACCCACCAGCTGAAGCCCGACCCGCCAGCCCAAGGGCCAAGGCCCAATATCCAATTCCTTATCCCACTTCGGTCTTGTGAAAATGAACCGATTTCTGCCAAACTATAGCATTCCAAAGGAGGCCTACGTATTACCTTTGTGCTCACACATGTCAAATATTCAATTTCATTTTTTTCGTTAGGACTGATTACCGACAATTGTTCTGTTAATATCAGTTGTGTGATACAAGATATTATCAAATAACATCAGTTTATATACATTGTTTTTAAAAAAAAAATATTTTTATGAAAAAAGTCAAATGCTTGTTTTGTCACGAAATGGAATACGCATTGGGATTTCAAACTAGAGTGCATAATTTTAATATCGTAGAGATAGAGAAGTACATCCGTTGTATAAAACCCGGCCAACATTATTCTGAAAAGGTCAAAAGGGGGTTGAGGAGGATTAGAAGGTGATGACTGGCCGTGCTCCTTTGATCTCACCCATGGTCGCCACTGCCGTAGAGAGTCCTACATACGTACACTTGCCATGTGTATCGCCTTGAGAATTTCTTGCTTGTGTCATCTAGAAACTGCATTTTAATTTTTTTATTACACCGTTGAAAGCTCTAGCTTGGTTTTGGTAAATTGATAAAACTCTATGTGCTAACCTAGTTTATCAAAGTGATCATGAGATATGTAACACTATTCCAAGTGATGTAGCAATTGGTGAAGATCATGATGATGGTGTAGACATGATGATCAAGTGCTTACTTGAAAAGAAGAAAGAAAAATAAAAAGCTCAAGGCAAAGGTAAAACTTGATATGAGCGTTTTGGTTTGGTGATCGGGACACTTAGCGAGTGTGATCGCATTTAGGATCGATAGTCGTATTATTAAGAGGGGTGAAATTCATATCGAAATGCGGTTATCAAAGTGCCACTAGATGTTCTAACTCATTGCATATGCATTTAGATCTAGTAGAGTGGTAACACCCTTGAAAATGTTTATCAAAATATGCTAACACATGTGCACAAGGTGATACACTTGGTGGTTGGCACATTTGAGCAAGGGTGGAGAGGTTGATGAAGTGGTGGAGTTGTTTGTCACCGAAAATCAGTGACCGGACGCTGTTGTCGAAGCGACCGGACTCATGTGGTGAGCGTCCGATCATTTATAAAACTTGGTGGCACGCTCAGTCTCGGTTTGGTTGTTGACCGAACTCGGAGGAGAAAAGTGACCGGACTCGGGCTGAACACTGCTCAGCGTCCGGTCCTACTGACGTGGGACTGCGTCCGGTCACGATGGACCTGAAGCGTCCGATCGCGTAAAAGAGGCTCTAGAACCTTACTGGAACCAACCTGACACACGGGCTCTGGAGTTGATCGGCCCGTCCGATCGCTTGCTGGCGGCGCGTGCGGTTGTGTTGACCTGACGCGGCGCGGTCGTGGCTGCGTGCGTTCGGTCGTCACTTAGGCGCTAGTGCGGCAGAACTTGATCGTTAAGGTCGTGTGGTGAACGTCAAACGTGGAGGACACGTGGCGCAGATCCAGCGACCGGACGTTGGGTGGCGTGCGTCTGGTCACATTGACCAGGCGTGTCCGGTCGCCCTAAGTTGGGCTGCAGTATGAGCCCAACGGCTCTATTTCGTGGGGGCTTCTATTTAATCCCCATGGCCGGTTCAAGCTCACTCTCTTGGCCATTTGCATTGATATATCAATCTTGTGAGCTTAGCCAAAGCCCTCATACTCATCTTCATCATTGATTCATCATCTTTGTGAGATTAGGAGTGAATCCAAGTGCATTGCTTGAGTGATTGCATCTAGAGGCACTTGGTGATTGTGTTTCGTTGTGGTTTTGCTTATTTCTCTTGGTGGTTGCCACCACCTAGACGGCTTGGTGCATCGAGGATCGTTGAGCGAAGGAAGGTGCTTGTCTCTGGCTCCGATCGTGGTGATTGTGACGGGTTCTTGACCTTTTTCCGGCGGAGAGATAAAAGGTACTCTAGTGAATTGCTGGTGGCTTGTATGATCCTCATCTTGTGTTGGTTGTGCATCGGTAAAAAAATATTGTGTCATCTTGTCCCGAGGATTTCTTGGTATTCATTGTGATTGATTGATTGTGATCATCTTGTGATTGGCGGACTCCTCGACATGGTGGTATAACTCACTTCCATCTCGTGTATTTACATTCTTAATGTAACTAACATCTTTAGTGTAATTAGTTTTGAGAGTTAGCTTGTGTCGGATCTAGTGGTTAGTGAGGCTCTTTAGTTACTCTTTGAGAGTTCACTAACTTAGTGACATAGCCTTTGTGTGCATAGAGATTATATAGATATTATAGAAGCTAGAATTATGGTAGATGACTTACTTTTTTTAGTAGGCTAGCGCAACATTCGTTTCGCCTTATATTTATCTAACCATTTTGCTTAGTGTTATTGTAGAAATTTTAGCTATTAGGACCTTCCAACCGTGCTTTGATTTTCTAATGCATGCACATATGTTTAAAGAAACTCGTACGACATATTGATTTTGATACCTCTGTCTGTTACATAAGTTCAGAAAAAGAGTAGACATTGGACGTGCAATACGTAGAAGAATAATTGAGTGTTCCGACACGTACGGTTATTATCGAGCAGAGCAGACCATCACATGCATACGAAATTACGAATACGATAATACGGACTAATTAATCACGCCACGGCCTTGGCCGGTCCACCGTAGAAGCTGCCATTCTCCACGGGGCTGACGGCGTACGCCTCAGGCCTGCCCTCCAGCTTGGGCAGGTCCGACGTCACCGGCGACGCACGCCCGTCGGGGCCGACGAGCTGGACGCCGGTCACGGACGCGGCGGATGCCCCAGGCAGGTAGCCGCTGCCCATGGGCGCCGGCGGATTGTCCGCGGCGGGCGCCGTCACCATGCCACCGAACCGCACGGCCGCCGCCTTCTCCGCGAAGCCTCCGGTGAAGAGCGACCGGGGGAAGCGGCCGATGGGCGCCGGCTCACGGTTCAGGCCCGCGTGCACCACCCAGTCGCCCGACGCGCCGCCCTGCTTGACGATCTTAAGGCTCAGGTTTTGCTTGTTCCCGCCCTTGGGAGTGGAGACGTTCTCGATGACGTCTCCGGGAGCTATCGCTGCGCCCTTCTCCGGCTGGAATCCGGCGCACTCGGTGTTGAGGCAGCCCGTCTTTGTAAACCCGTCGTCCTGCGCATTCAGTGTTTCAACGAGCGAACAGTATTTTACTTTCGCAACAAATCAGCATAAGTCAAAATTCAGCAAAACGAATTGGGCCAATATGTAGTACTAGTATTTTTGAGGAATTGGACACCATTGCACACCTATACATACATATATAGTATCTTTCTACTAAGAGAAGGAGAGTGAAGACCAGCTTACTGTCCAGGAAGTAAAGAAATGCGTGCGCGAATCACTGTACAGAGCTGGCAAAACATTCCAGCCGATGATAATGGCTTTGGCTTTTGCCTGTGCGCCGTTCCCTTCGTCCACGACCCAGACGGCCAGACGGAGCCCGCGGTGCCTTGTCACTGCTTCAGGTCTGGGAAGCCATACACGTCCAGCGTGGCGATGAACCCGTAGTAGCCATCCGGTGTGGCCTCAGCTCCATGGAACGCGAACTAAGTTATGCAACAAGGCAAAGCAACAATGCAGAGCTAGCTCAACAAACACAGTACAGGTAAACAGGAATTTAAAATTATATACGATATGGATGGATATAAAGAACTCACGTAGGTCGGGTCGGCAGCACCACCAGCAACAGCAGAATCCAAACGAGGACAGACGTGGTCGATGAATCCTCGGATCAGGTTCGTCGTCGTCTCGTTGATGGGTGAATGCAACTTCTGAGGACGACCAAAAACCTCCGGGTATGCATCGGCCCCAGGGGCTACAAGTACAAAACCCAACAGAGCTGGTAGGGTGACCTTGAGGATCCTCCAACCCATCATCATCTCAATTATTGTTACGTAACAATTGTTCTGTTCGTCTAGCTAGAAAAACGACTGATGCTGATGCTAATTTATTGTGAGAGAGAAACACTATTATTTCACTGAAATGGTACGGCTGATAAGTTCAAGCGAACAAGGCCAATATCTAGAATGGCTGCGACGATTGTGGGTAGTATGCCAATGCCAGGGAGCCAGGCCACTATATATTGCCAACAGATTACCAGGACGAAGTAACGTGACATCTCGGAGTTGAGTTTCTAGCGGGCCCGATCTACCGGATGTATAAAACAAGGGCAGCAAGGGCCGATGCATAAATTCATATGGCATAAGTACCGCATAACTATACGCCCCTTCAAGAGTCAATGGGTCGTTGCTGGCCCAAGGGCGCATACACAGCAGTTGAAGTCATCCTACACATTGTTCATTACCGTCGTGTGGCATACGTGTGTGTGGCCTAGTTGTCACCACATGCATGTAACGGCCATCTTGTATCTATTGTATTTGTAGATGTATTGTACAGGGTGTACGTGAACGAGATTGACCATGCATTGGTGCATGTGCCATCTGTTTATGCCGGTATTTGTGTGTATACATGCACGGCTCTCTCTAAAACGAGATCGACCATGCATGTGGTACGGTGTGTGCCTCCGTGTGACGTGTGCATGTGTGCCATAATTCTACAGCTTGCATTGCTGGCTAGCTGTGACGTTTCCACCCCGGCCCCGATCCATGCATAAAGAAACAACCTCGATCGATCGCGTCTCATCAAATAAACTGGAACAGAGACAGATCAGCGCTGCATGAGAGGATAAGTATACACGTATAAATAGGAGTATTACCGCATCATCAAAAGCTGGAAGCATGCATCATCTTAAAACAGAAGCAGAACCATCCCATCCCACACCCCGCTTCCCAAGAGAAAACCCAGCCAGAGCCACTAGTTGAACGCCGAGTTGCTATGGGTGTGTTTGATTGGGTGGCCAGACCCTAGCCTAGCTCCCTGGAACCAATTTTGGCATGTTTGGTTGCCTGTAAGGGAGCTCGGGCCTGGCTTGGGCTGGCCAACCGTACAGTTGGAGCCTGGCCCGGGTTGAACGTCGGATTCGGCCATTCTCATGGAACCTGCCTTGGGCCAGCTCCGCCCGCTCGCGTCATGGTGGGCCCGGTTGGCTTGCCCTGGCCATCGTATATAAGCAAAGCCTCACCGCTTGGCTAGGGTTCCTAGGTATTGTTCACTCACCTTCCACATAGCCGCCGCTCACTCGCTGTCTCGCCCCCCCTCTGTCTTCCCACCCCCAACATTTCTTGAGAATGGCATAGCGACCATGTTCACACTTACGAATCCTCACAACATGCATGCCGAACCAATCAGTCTCGTGGACACCATCAGGGATGGACGAGTCGCTCTGGTCCTACGAACAAAAGGGGGGGGGACCCCAAATTGGTCAAAAATCCACAACAAATTTGCATCTATGAATCAATCCTAGGGTTTTGGTCAATAGTCCAGCACAAATCTGGACCTATCTTTGCGACCTTGCACGGCAAAAATGGGTTTTGGGCATTGCAACTAAAACCCTAGGAGGGGAGGGGGCAGAACGGGAAGGGACGTATACCTGGGATGTGGCCATCTGCTCGCTGTCGCGGTCCTCCGACAAGTCAACGGAGTCCCCATCCTCACTCCTCGCCGAGTGGCTCCTTGATGGGGACCCGGCGGCCGGGGAACGGAGCGGAGACGCCGAGTGGGAGGCACAATTACAACCGGAGTCAACGTTGCAACGGCCTAGAGCATGGCGCATCGCCAAGGAATCCACGACGGTGGCGTTGTCGCTCATCTACACGACTGGGGTGGCTCACCAGTGACGGTGTCGAGGGAGGAGAAGAAGGCAAGGGGACGGGGAGGTGAACGAATGAGGGTGAGCGAATGAGAACCTACCGACTTGAATTTATTAACGAGGAAGGGTGACGGTGGTAACCATACCAATTCAAGGAAAGGGTGAAGCTACCCTGCTGTGTACACCAAACCAAACACACCCTACCTTGGCTCCACTAGTCATGCACCCAACCAAACAAAATCTCAGCTAAACTAGGCCACCCATAGCAGCCCAACCAAACACGCCCATGTTGGCTTGATGTAACAAGGCCAAACCCACCCAGGCTCCAATCTTAGCCAGGCTAGGAATTAGCCAAGAAACCAAACACACCCTATGTCACCTAGGATCAAAGTTTAGGGCTTGAAAAAGTTCATCTTTAACCTTTAGCCTCTTCTTCTCAAAGTAGCCATGGCAAAAAAAATTGGACGGGCTCTATGAAATCAGCAGCGGTAGGGGGGCTTGAGCCCCCCCACTAGATCTATTCTTGCCCTCGGCATCGTCGTCCCCCTACTTGTGAGGTGGCTGTTTGGATTGTATCAGAGGGCACAGCAGACTGCGGCACCATGATCAGAGGCAGAGCAACATCACATCGCCATCGATATCCTGTAGTCGGGCTCAGGCGAAGGGGCAGCGGCCACGTTGGCTCCCACGTTCTACCTCAGGCACTACTGATTGCGATGACTAGTGTCCCGTACCTACACTGGTGCTAGTATGTTGGCCCAGGAGCACTTTGTCGTCGGTGTCTTAGGTCATTTTTATAGTGGACGTATCTCTGACAGGTTGTGCCTCGCCTCTGTCTATCTGTCTCCCATTGGTCGTGCCTGGCCTTTGTTCTAGCATGAATGCAGATCCTATGTGTAATGGGCAATGTTTGCTCCCTTCTCATCATGTCATGGAATGTTAGAGGTTGGGTGACTGTCGATGTTTGATGATCGGCAACTCGTCACGGGGTTACCCGAGACGATGTTCGAAGGGCTTCGACGTATGCAGAACTCGACAGTAAATGCAAAGATACGAACGATTTATATTAGTTCGAGCCCTCTTGACAAGTAATAGCCTTTACGTCCAGTCGGCGTATAGCCTTTTTGCGTTGGATTGATTGTATGATTGTTAGGGTTAAAAGGGGGTGCGACGTACCTCTCTATATTGGGGAAAGAGTAAGGGCACGTATCTAGTCCTAGTTAATTACAAGAGAAGAGTTCTAGTCCTATTACAGAATCTAGCTTTCATAGTAAGCCGACTAAGTTGATCTGGAATAGCTTGAAGTCCACGCCACCTTGTCTTGCACCCTTCAACAGATCATGGACCATCCGAGGGCCAATTCGGGTAGAACTCCCGTGGGGAACCCCTAGGACCCTAGTCCGTCAAGACCCTGAACATGTCATGGTTGAACACAGAAGCCATCTTGTTCCTCCTGGTCTTGCCGAGTAGAAACAAGTGTAATCCGAGTGCTTTCGTGAGTGAAGCCATGAGGTGCTCTGTAAAGCCTCCGGGTGACATGCACTTTTCAGGAAAGTGCACTCACTGGGTGTAGCCCCCGAGCCTCTTGTTGATTGTAAAACAAAGAGTTAGAGGGTCTAAAAGAAAAAATATCCATAGAGGAAATGTGTAACACCTCTGGTGTTACGAGCTTGCTTAGCACCAAGATTTAGACCTAAGAGGATTTACCAAAATGAGTTTCTCGGATTTTAAAATTTAAAACATTTGAACTTATGTTTAAAAGTGTCATTTTTGGCGAATTATATTGAACAACGAGTTAAGTAGTTTCTAGATGTTTTGTTTCTACGAGTTAGTATGACGTATGGACTAGTGTACGAAATACGTAGTGGTTGGAATTAATTAGTTTTAGGCATATTAAAAATTACGGCAAAAGTGCTAAAGGTTGTTAGGTCTAGCTAAGTCCTTATTCTTCTAAGTCTAAAACGATGATAGACAATGTCGTTTTGGCACTTAGTTTCAACAAAAATGGATAAAGCAATATATTTATGTTTCTGCACGATTGGCTGCATCAAGGTGTGTACTTGAACCTGGTGCAGGTCATAGTTGCGATAGAGGTTAAGATGCTCACTCGACAGCTGCCGAACTTCGCTCAAACGTGTTGTAACCATATCGTTAGCACTCTGTTCGTGAACTGGGGTTCTGGGCGACGAACTCATCTTGGCATACTTGTATCTTTTCCCCTAATCATTCGTTGGTCTCGACGATTGCTCCGCTAGATAGCTGGTAAGGTTGTCTTTAGGTTAGAGGAATTAGTTGAACCTAAGTTGTAATCGTTAGTAGCTGTTGGTTCGCTTTAAAACTCACGCACGTCACTACTTCCACTTGTTCGTCCTGAGCTCGCGGTCAGCGCGCGTGCACGAATGCTGCTAGTGCCAGGCTTGGGCCGTGGCTAGGCCGCAGTCGCTGGTCGACCCGGGTGCCCGCTCAGTGCCGTGCGGCGTCCGTAGCCTTGCGTTGGCCGGCTCTGACTGGCCGTGGCCTAGCTCCCAATGCAACTGTGCTATTGCTGATCGCGCGTTCACAACCGTTCGTTTGAACTACCTCGCTTGGTACGACGTGCACGTGTATGAGAGAGGACCGAGCCACCATTGCTGCCTTCGTGCACGTGATATACCTTCACCCCTGCTCTCTCTCTCTCTCTCTCGGCCTCTCTCGTGTTATGCTCAGCTCTCTCTCTCTCTCTTTTTGTTCTAGAACGTGCACCGCCTTGGCCACGAGCTCAGAGCCGAGCTCGTCGCCGTTGTTCACCGCTGTGCCCACCACCACTGCCGGCTACTGCGCAACGCGCAGGGGCTGGGCGCCGACAGCGGTCGTAGCCGAGCCATCGAGCGCCGCGACCACCTCCGCCTCTTTTAGAAATTCGTCTACGCTGATGACTTCCATTCCAATTCCTCAAAGCCATGAGTGATCCTGGTTGTTATATAGCCCCTGGACGAGACCTCGTTGCCATCCGTCAACGGTACGTGACAAATTTTGGAATCTCGTGCTCGCGGTCCGCCATGGTCTCCAGAGATGGAACTCTACAATTGCGCTGCTCCGTTTCCTCTCTGTCATGTTCAAGCTGAGTTTTAGCATCGCCTTAATACCTCCTGGGTTCCTTTTGTACAGTTTGGTCTGACGTTGTCGTTCGCCGGGAACACCATCGAATGTCGTCGCCGCGTTCCAGCAGCGCTGTGCATGCGGGCGACCACCTCCGAGCTTTCGCCAAGCCCGACCAACCATGGACACCTGCTCTAGGTGAGCTCTTGCACCTCCTTAGCTCACTAGTTTTCCTAGCCTTGCCGCATCATCGCTGGAACACGACAGCACTGCCGCCGCCGTGGCTCTACTCGCGAATGGCCTTGCCCAGCCATGTCCTGCGCACTGCCGCCTCCACTTCCTGGCCGTGCGGGCCTACAAAGCCCCCAGGTGGCCGCCGCGCCTGCCGCTCGGGCCAGCATGCAGTCACCGGCCTGGGTCAGCGGGGCCGTCGCCGTCGGTCGTCGTTCTATTACAAGCAGAGAAGGAGAGAAGGTGAGAAATGAGAATAGAACTTTTTCTAGGGTTCTTATTGCAAAATACGTGACTCATGTTAATAGTGTTGAATAGTGTCTAGAGTACCGCGGGTTAATTTAAAGAAGTACAGGGGCCTCTTAGCAAATATGATGTCGCCACCTTGCCTAGACAGCGTGGGCCGGCTTGCTGGGCTACGGCCTGCCTGCCTCCTGTGCCGTCCGCGCCGCCTGCCTCACCTGGGCCACGCGTCCGTCTGGGCCAGACTTGTGTCGCCCGCACTGGGCCGGCCTGCCGCCGCCCTCGCCTGGGCCTCTCACGTCCGCGCCGCTTGGGCCGTGTTCGCCCCGTATGGGTCGGCCTCGTGCCGCGCGCTGTGCACCTTCGGGCCAAGCCGGCTCGCCGGCCATGGGCCGCGCTATGGTCGCTCTCGCCGTGGGCCGTGTGGGCTGCGGTGTTCATTTCTTTTTCCAAGGAATTAGTGAAGATTTCCTAATATAAATTATGAACTGATTTTGTTATTTAAATATAAAATCATTTAGGAGTCCAAAAATTATGGAACAAATTTCGTTGAGTTCCTAAAATCATGATCTATCTATTAGCGTAATTGGTTCATCTAGTTGGTGCTGTTTTTAGGGTTGCCCTAATTATTTTAAAATGTTTAGTATTGTTAAAATATGAACTTGTATGAATTTTTGTGAGAAAATGGTGATAGTGTTGACTCTGAAAATTTTACAGTAAATTCCTAATATTATTAGCTGCTCACTATAATTTTTGTAGCTCCAGAATAATTAGATTGCTAGATAGATAATGATGCCCTATTTCGAATAAAGATTAAATCGATAAAATAGAATAAAGAAACATCTTGGAATTTTATAACTAAAACATTTATTGGAAAATAACGCCTTATTTGATAACATGGATGCGTAGCCTAAGTACGGTCGTCGTTAGAAATAGTTCGTTAGTTTGAGGGGCGTAAATCGTATTTTACGAGTCACGGTTGTAGTTAATTAATTATGTCTTTGTATTGCATCGCATTGCATACCATAATAGGGACGTCGATGGACCGCTAAGTCATCGGGAGTTGCTGGAGAAATGGTACTATTAGAGATCTTGTCACCATGATAGAAAACTAACTTCTGATTAAATCTTACCCAGACAAGCCCCGGTGCATAACCATTACTTTTCTGCACTTTAAATTATATTTGTGCATTAAGTTTTAAGGAGTTGAATGAAACCCACTTTGCATATATATCTTTATCCTATTAGTCTTACTAGTATAACATGATCGTATAGATTGCTATTCTACAGGACTCCGGTAGAAGTCGAGTGATTGCCTGTCACTCGCGAGAGATAGGAAATATATTACTATATTATTATCACTTGAAATATATAAATGGTGAAAGGAAAAGTGGAGATCGGGCAGGAATATGGTTTGGGCATTGGTGGGTGTAAGAGGTTATGTCCTG